TTTAACATAGGCCAATGCATGTACACAGGTTGGCCATTGTTTTCAATGGCGCTAGATAACATGCTCGAGCTACATCGATGGGCATTGCACAAAAAAAGGCAGTTGTTTTTTTTTGCTGCATTGAAGGGACAATAGAAATCATGTTATTTGAGTTTTTAGGTGCTATCAGTACATAACAATGCGCGGTGAAAACACACCCAAAGATGCATCATAAAACAAACAGGTGTACAGCCAGCCTTAAAGTTATAGGCAGCACTATTTGGGAACTCGCACAGTATTTTATAAATAAATAATATAAATAATATACATATTTTCTATCAGTTATATATTTTTGAAAGCATTTATTAAAACTCTAGTTTGTGGGTCAAGTGTCTGATGATGTTCCAAGATGACAATCAGCCACGTACCGATAATGTAAAATGAACTGTATGGAGTTTCGACAGTGCTGCACAGTCCTCCCCTCTCTATAGTGTTTCACCCTACATGGGCCTAATCGTAGAACTCTATGGTGTGCAGCTGATTGTAATCCTGGAACTTTCATACTTTTGGAATGCGGGTTTGCTTTGTCAATGAGCACTCGACGTTCCCTTTGTGTTGACACCAGGAAGGGGCAGTGTCTGATATGCCCCACACACTGCATAATTAGATGATATATTTTCTGATATCCTCCAAATTTTTTTGGTGCTCATTTAATAAGAGGAAGTTCAATGTACAAAGTGCAGTAATTCATACCATCATCTGTCTATCTGTCATTGTTATCATTTCTGAAGCTGTTAAAAGGTGATTGGTTGCTATACTACAAAGCATTTTTTGGTACTACCAAACCTTTTTTATTCTCTGTTTATAATATTTTAATCTTAGTTCATCTTAAATATTTTTGGTCGATAACAAAGAAACTTGTCAGTTACAAGAACCAACAGAATAAGATGAAAGGAAATAAAGGATAGTAAATAAATATCTATTTTCAAGGAGAAACTTGTTTATCATATGGCTTCTATGGGCTTGCGTCTGAGACAGAAGGAAAGAAGGGGGTGCCAAACCACAGTATTAAACCACAATATATACAGTTTGTTTTAACTGTTTCTTATCTTGCCTGGCATCCTCTATACACCAGGGGATACAATTCATTCACATACTGAAGCAGGGAAGATGGGTCAGCTAAATGGGACATCGTGGGTGTTGCTAGGAACCTGAGGAAAGTAATGATGTGGCCTACTTTCTGTATATACTGCACAGTCTGCTTCAATTATTGCTCCTCAAGCAAAAGTCTCACACAAACACACACACACACACACACCTCAACACAATCATTTTGTACAAAATGAAACTCTTCCTTCACATATTGTTTCCTGCACACAGAATATAGAGATAATACTAACACTTGGGGACAGGGCTGGTGCAGAGATTTAAGCCTACACAGGCGAAGGTACATTTTTCCACCCCCCTCCCCGACACCCTCAGGCAGCCTTATGGTAGCGCTAGCCCTGCATAGAAATCCAATAAAGCAGCACTCCAAAACTAATAGGAGATCTGTGATATCCATGTTACAGGTCAAACCAATTATCTCAAAAGCATTTAGAAAAAAGGAAGACCATCAGCTAGTAGTGCCCTATATGTGAAGCCACAAGCAATGACACGCCAAATAGTTTACTGTGGAGCACCCCAATACAAAGACACCCCAAAGTGCACCACTCCAGAAAGCATCACAAAGATGTCCATGTTATAGCTCACACTGAACATATCCAGCATTTGGGAAAAGAATGACCATCATCTACTGACGCCCTATATGTAAAGCCACAGACATTGACAATGACATCCCACATCTGTTACAATGGTGCACCCCAATAAAAGGACAACCCCCCATAAAGCTTCACTAAAGAAAACATAACTAATAGCAGATAACAAGTGACCTTAAACTGATGTTTAACTGCTTCAGGACCGCCTAATGTAGATAAACTGGGGCATCCTGAAGCAGAACACATTTTATATGCAATATATATTAAAAATCATGTGTCCTGTGACTTCCATTTTGGCTGCTGTTGGGTTGATGGTGGCAAAAATCCTGTGTAATAAAATCTTACACTGACCGCCAATGTAATGGAGGTAGTCTCACTGACCGTCAATTTAATGGAGGTATTCTCACTGAGTGTCAATGTAATGAAGGTATTCTCACTGACCGCCAATCTAATGGAGGTATATACACTGACCGCCAATATGACCGCCAATATAATGGAGGTATTCACACTGACAGCCAATATAATGGAGGTATTCACACTGACTGCCAATATAACGGAGGTATTCACAATAACCAGCATTGTAACGGAGGCATTCACACTGACTGCCAATGTAACAAAGGTATTCCCACTGACCTCCAATATAACAGAGGTATTCTCTCTAACCACCAATGTAACGGAGGTATTCACACTGACCAGCAATGTAACAGAGAGATGCACACTGACCACCAATGTAAGTAATGTATATACCCCTCCACCGTTATTTTTTAAAATTCTAATATATATACATACACCCACTTAAACATACCTTTTTCCTGCAGTCTTCAGGCTGGTTTTCTTCCTTAACAGCAATGGTGGGCCGCAGATTATTGATATGCAAATACCGCCGCCCATGCATATGTTAATATCTTACCGGGTGACAGCTTCAAGAACAGTGCGTGCTCATAGAGTAAAGGGGGGGGGGGGGGGCACAAACTTTAGGTAACTGAAGCTCAGAGCCCCATCCATACCGCTGCTCCTGTGTATGGGAGGCGGTGTTTACCTGCCCTCCCCAACTTGCGCCCTCAAGCGGTTGCTTGTGCTGCCTTTATGGTAGCGCCGGCTATGCTTGGGGTTTATTTATTAAGCTAACACTTGGGGTTTATTCATAAATCTTCTGCCCAGCCATACACTGGGTGAATGCTATTTGCATGGCATTCCTGCCACTGTGTTGAGCTGAGAAGCACAGGAATTTCCTATGCTCCTCAGCACCATCCAGTGGTGGGAATGTCATACGAAAGGCATTTGCCCAGTCTATGGGTAGATCAGGAGCTGTTAAGACAATGAACACTTTGGTCAGGAGCATATAGCATATATAGTACATGGGTCAGGGGTATATAAAGTAAGAGTGCAAGGGTCAGGAGTATGTAATTGCAGCCAGGAGTGAAGCTGCTTGAATTTTAGAGTAGCGACAAGTTTACCATTAGGATTGCCAGCACCTCTGACTACTTGCTGCCATCTATTCTCTAAAGATTTTGATTGCTGGACTGTGTGGTCCAGTTGCAGCACTAAATGCGAAACAGACTTTAAAAGTTCAGAACATTTAATACGATTGGGAACAAAACAAAAAATCTGCATTAAAGGAAACCTTCACCCACATGTGCCGAGGGTAGCACGGTCTCAAAATAAATAGCCCTGCATTTAAAGTGACACTAAACTCAGGAATCAAACCTTAAAAATGCATTCAAGTACTTTACCTATTAACAACAATGTAGCTTATTTGCCACCACTGTAAGCTTGCTCCCGTGATGGACTATAACTTCAATACAAATTAGTAATGTAAACATAAGATTGTAGTCCACCATGGAGGCAAGCTTGGAGTTGTGGCTAATTTACAACATTCAGAGGGAATATGGGGAACAGAAAGTAGTCACCCTCCAGAAGGAAGGTCAGTGTCAGCACAAATTCAGAGATGATTTGAGGATCTACAGCTGAGTGACGCACAAATAAGATACATTTTTGATAATAGTTAAAAGTACTTGAGTGCCTTTTTAAGGTTTATTTCCTACGTTTATTGTCACTTTAAATATTTGATTTCGCTTAAAGAAGAACTCTGGGGACAATTTTTATTAACACTTCCAGTGGGGCTACCCCCATACTGCAAGGGTTAACTGTTGTTTGTTTTTAGGTGCTAAAAACAAAAAGGTATACTTGCCCGGTCATTCCAGCCAGCTTGTTCTTAGACTGGGTCCCTAGAGCCTCTCTCCCCCTCCTCTGCAGCGGTCTAAGAATCCTTTTGTCATCATGCTGTATACAAGTGTATAGATGTGAGCATGCTAAGTAACATTCCATCTGTGCAGAAGAGGAGGGGACACGCTTCAGTGACTGGAGAAGCAGGGAGTCAGCTCAGCTCACGGGTGAGTATAACTTTTTTTTTAGCACCTAGATACAACCGAGCAGTAATCACTTTTGAAGTGTGGGGGTAACTCCACTGCAAGGATTAATAAAACATTTCCCTTCAATTCTTCTCTATGCTTAGTGTCCAAATCTTTTAAAGCAAGCTCGTTTAAAAAAAAATTACTTAGAGCTCTGGGTGGGATGAGATCTCCAGTCCTGGGGCCAGGTGTTACCAATGACCAGCTTGGGCTGAACAAGTGGCTGAGAGCAGCCTTATTAGAAGCCAGCTCAGTACTCAGAGTGGTGAGAGAGTTGTGTTTGAGTTGTGTGTGTTCAAGGCAGAATCAGGTGCGTGCTTGACACACGTGGAACAGCCAGGGGAGGCTGGGAGAGGCCAGGAAGGTCGGTGACCCGAGGGACCTGTTGGACGCACTGCTGGGAGAGCAGTGTGAGTGCACACGAGGGGAGATGTCGGGAAGGTCGGTGACCCTAGGACCTGTGGGACACACTGCTGAAAGAGTGAGGGCTCACGAGGGGCGAGCAGTGTGAGTTTCTTGGAGCTCTGGAAAGCTACAGAGCGAAACTAAAAGACTGTCCTTTATGTTGCTGCTAGAAACTGTCTTGTGCAACAGGGGAGGTCTACCCTGTGGATGGAATGAGATGTTTGGTGTTTGCCCTTAATAAAACTGCATTTTACTTGCACCTCCGGTCTACAGTCGAGTGTCCTTGTTACAATATATATATATATACACACACACACACACACACACAAATACTCATTTATTTAGTATGCCACGGGCATTAAAATAGAAATCCTAGATTAAATATAACCCATGGGGTGGCTATGAAAGTCTATTGTACTACACTAAGTGTGTTCGTTTGTTTTATCAGATCCCATGGAATGGTCCTCAGGTAATGTTCAGAAGTGGATCTTATGGACAGAGCACCAGTATCGCCTTCCGCAAGTGGGTCGCAGCTTTCAGGATCTAACTGGAAGAGATCTGTGCTCCCTAAATGAAGATGGTTTCCGAGACAGGTCTCCGCTGTGTGGGGATGTCTTGTATGCTCACCTGGACATCTGGAAGTCAGGTAAAACGATAACATTGGAGACCATATGTGAGGTTTATAATTTAATTTTGGATTCCTTTCACCTATCTTAAAGTGCATGTAAATCCTAATAATGAACTTCTATTAATTGTTACCTTTTGGCCTGTTAAATATACAATTGAAAGGGTTTGGTTAATAATGTCAGAAATTCAGAGCTGTCTTGTGTCCCATGCACACTTTCTGTGTTATCTCAAGGAGTCTAATTCGCTCTTATAGTTCTTTTCTTGAACTGTACAATAATCAGTGTCTATGTTATAGAAATAGGAGAGTGGGAGGGAATCAGTAGCTATGCAAAAGACAAGTGTGTGGGGCTCACACCATTAAGTTCATAAAAATGTTGTGAGCCCATTACAGGACTTAGTAGCTGTGTGAATTCTGGCAGATCAACAGGATTTTTTCTCTACTTGCAGGGTCTTTAAAAATGTGCATGTATTGCAGATATGTACTGCATATATTTTATTTATTTTGCCCTGACTTATGCTTTTAATGTTGCTTTTGTCTCTGCAGCAGCCTGGATGAAAGAAAAGACAGGATCTAGTGACATGAGATACTGTGGTAAGAGAGATAAAGTCTACCACCTATAATGCAATGAACACTATGCAGCAGATCCTATTGTTTAATTTATTCATAAGCTTGGTCGTTGTGAACACATTAAACTTTACTTTACTACATACTTTAGCAGATTTTTTTAAGTGATTATGGGTGGGACTGAAGACGTGTCTCCTAATTCTGTGCTGTGCAATGTACTTATGCTTTAAACAGTGCAACAGCCATACAAGTTTGGCGTGGTAAGCTAAAGAAAAAAGATCCCCTAAAATTAGTGAGAAACACGGTAGTCAAAAAGTATGTGCATTTCTCACTTCCTTCACCGGTCCAAAAAAAGGGTTTATTTCTCCTTATAGGATAATCGGTAGAGCCATGGAAATCAAAAAAAGTATTTTGCATTGTGACGGATTCTCTTTGTTTGCACATATCATGCATGACACTAATATTCATAGGAATCATATTGCAGAAAAAGTACTGATAGATTTGATTACACTGAAAGTGCATCAGCCCATGAGACAGTCTTCATGCACATTTGACTTGCTTTTTGCCTGTGGAAAAGTCCACAAGGTAAGTAAACTAAACAGAGAACATTTATACAAAAGAAAACATATTTAGAAAAGAGAAAATATGTTATTTGCTTTTTTGTAGATACTCAGCTGTACATACACACAGTAAAATACTGTATGGATCACAACAATTGGGTGACAAATCTAAGTTTATTAAATATATTATTATTATTATACAGGATTTATATAGCGCCAATAGTTTGCACAGCGCTTTACAATATAAGGAAGACATTACAGTCACAATACAATTTAAGACAAGATGGTAAGGAGGGCCCTGCCCGTGAGGGCTTACAATCTAAAATATATAGCTAAACAGCTTTCTAAAATATTATGTAATACAAAATAGCTGTATTTTCTCCAGGGTATTTAATAACATTAAATGTAATAGTGAGCTACTCTAAGAAATGGAATCAGCCTCTGTACAGGTAGTCAGGGAAAAAAGCTGGCTTAGTGTAGCTTTACCTTTTGCACTCCATGTCCCCTTAAAGTAGTATAGTCTTATTTTTTTTTTTACATATATTTACTGCTAGCAAGCAGTAGCAGACTTACCAGTACTTGGTTGCCTCCAGGGCTTTTACAAAATGCAATGTTCACAATCCTTTTCACACTGGAGGCAGAGCAATGGGTAAACAAGGAGTATATTTGGTATCAGGAGTACAGTGGCCACAAAGGGTAACAGGGACTGGTGTCATGCTAGGAACATAGTCAGGAAGAAGGCAAAAGATCGAACCAGATGGTAGGCAGGTGGTTACACATGGTCATGTAAACAAAGGGTCAGATAAGATGGCAGAGACATGGTAATTTACCTGGCAAAGGGCCTGTTAATGTGGCAGACAGAGACATGGTCAGTATATGGACAAAGGGTCAGTTCACATGGCAGGCTTAAACGTGGTCCTACCAGGAAGGTAGGACCAATCAGAGAGCATTACCTGGTAACAAGACCCCAACAAGCTAAAAATTTAGGCATGACTTCCACATGCAGAAGATGGCGTTCAATGAGAAGCTTGGAGGAGGTGCCTAAGGTGCGGCCATGTTGCCTGGATAACAGGATGCTGGGTCACAAGGCCATATACGTTAGTCACAGTGGGCTGGGAGGTGGGCAGGCCAGCGTGGGATGCAGGATTTAAAGGGAGCCATCGGACAAGGCAAGTCCTTACAAGCGGGCATTTTTGCTGAATGTCATTTAAAGGAGAACTATGAGATGAGTGATTTCCACTCACCTCATAGTTCTAGCCGACCTGTGACAATGAGACTGTCACAGGTCAGCTCAGTAGATCGGAAGGTGATCGAACACATACCAGGTTCGCTCACCTCTCGATCCTGTCACGGCTCTCTGCCGTGACAGGGGGAGGGGCTGGATTCCACTCTCCCCGCTCCGATCTGCCAGCGCTGACTGGCGGAACGGACGGGGAGGGGGCGGGTAGAGCTGGCTCTGCCTCTAGATAGGCAGAGCCAGCTGTCACTCACGCAGCTGGGCGGATCCCGTCATCTACGTCAGGATCCGCTCCGGCGTCTCAGTATACCGTGAGCTGTAGCTCGCGGTATACTGAGCTTAGGGTAACGGGAGGACGCTAGTTTGTGTCCTCCCGTTACCCTAAGGAGAACTATGGGGAAAAGCCCTGACCCCATAGTTCTCCTTTAATGCACAAGTCACAAGATTGGAATGTCTTTTGCAAGTGCTAAATATTCTGTAACAGTTGTATAATCCGTATAATCAAAAGAAATAGGCTTATTTGTTTTACATTTCCAAAAGGTAAACAAAATATTACTTCCAGCATCAAACCGGAAAAAAAGGCTTTTCTTCAGCGCAACAACAAAATAAAGTCAGCCTGTCTTTATAACAAATAAAATATGGCTTCTGACCACCTAAAGGCTTTTACTCGCAGGAGGGGTATCACAGTCTAAGAACTTTTGGGGTATTTCCCATCAGAGACAGCTCTCAGCAGTGCTCAGCAACTCAAACCTCTCCTGCAGATCTAACCCCTTACTGCCTCTTATAGGGAAAAGGAGATATATGGTGAAGTCAACTTACAATTGTAGTTCACTGCTAAAACTTAAGCTCTGGAAAGCCTGTCATTGTACCTTCATAATTAATTTTAATTAATTGTGCTCCTGCTTTAAAAAGATACATATTAAAGTGACACTAAACTCAGGAGTTAAATCTTAAAAATGTATTCAGGTACCTTTTAACTGTTAACAAAAATGTTACTTATTTGTGCATCACTCGGTTGTAAATCCTCAAATCATCTCTGAATGCATGCTAACATTGTTCTTCCTTCTGGAGGTTGGCTACTTTTGTTTCCCATTGCCCCTGTGCGTGTTGTAGTGTAGCCACCGCTCCAAACTCGCTCCTGTGATGGACTACAATCTCACATATCGTTTTCTAATTTGTATTGAAATTATAGTCTATCACAGGAGTGAGCTTGGAGCGGTGGCTACAGTGTCAGTATGAACTGTTGTTGTTATTGCACTGATAAATATAAACATCTGCTATTGATTAACATATAACATCTAGTACTGTAAACACTTTATGAACCAATTTGTTTTTGCAAGACCAGGAGCTGTGTAGAAGAAATCCCTTTTTTTTTTTATCTTTTCAGGAGGAAATGGATCTGTTGGTGAATGCTGGCCAGACACAGAAGTAGATTCCTCCAGCTCTGGGCAGCCGATTCATTTATGGCAATTCTTGAAAGAGCTTTTGCTAAAGCCACACAGTTATGGAAGTTCTATACGCTGGCTAAACAAAGAAAAGGGTAAGGAATCATGCTGCCTTCAATTAGCCATTTAATGCACCGTTAGTTTACCAGTATGTGCAAGAAGTCTCAACAGGCAGGGCTGTAGGTACCAGTATGCCACTCAAGGGCAACAATGGGGCAGCAGGTTTAAGGGGCAGCACCAAGCCTCAACATTTTTTAATTGGTTTCCTATTTTGTTTCCCCCTTCTGGACACATCTGTACATTTAATGCTAAATTAACTGTAGGAGTAAAGGAGCTTAGAAATATTAAAAGGAGTCACAAGACTGTCTATAGTTCAAGAAACATAAAGCAATCTTATTTGTTGGTCTGTGCCGTTAAAAAAAGTCAGTGATAAGAAAGCAGAAAACATTCTTCCTCCAATAGCATTAGTTTTTACTAAAAATAATCACATGACAAAAAGGAATCAGCTTATCTAGAGGACAAGGTGGGCCTAGGGCAGTATGGTGTCTAAATACAATTTTCCCATGAATCTGCATTATGGCATACTACATTTTCAGTATGCAAAACTAGAAATCCTATAGGAAGGAATCTAAGAACGATAACAACAATATCCTCTCTCCATCCCAGGTCTTTGCTGCTATGCAGCACCCCCATGGGGAAATCTCCCCTAACCCCATCATGGTCATGTCACTCTTTGTGGCACAGCTGCTTGACTCACTAGCCTGTGAGATTTTAGTGTATTCCTGTGGAGCCTAATATATTTCTGTGCCCCGCATCTTGTAGTGAATTTTTTGTAGGAATGTATTTAAAAAAAAACATTGGTTCCACTGGGGTGCCACTGAAAATAGTAGCTTAGCGTTCTGCTGGGTTCTTAGCTTGTCATGGCAGTAGATATCACCACTAGAATTCTTGATAGCTAATGTCAAATTTTATCCCAGGATAGAAAAATCTCTGCGACAGAAAATAATGGGATTAGAATACAGTGGAAAAATCAGTTTGATATTACAACAGAACATACAGTATGTGTATCACTCCGCAATGACCCTATATGTAGTATGGCAGGCTAACATTTAATTCTCAAGGCCTGGTTCTTTGTGTATGGTGAAGATGAAAAATAAGTTGGTTGGCAGTCACTTTAGCCTTTTTACCTATTATTGCTGAACTCAGTTCTAGCTGAGAGGGTTTAGGGGTACAGGAAGAAGAGCATAGAAGGAGGACAGGTACTCTAAAGTTGGCCCTTAAAGAGCAGCCTCTTGGTAATTGCTGGCCATGTGAAAGCAGCCAGGTAGCTGTATGATCCTGTCACAGCAGTCATAGTCTTTCTCTCTTTCAGTTGATCTCTCTCTGTAAATCTGGTTATTGACCCTTTTAGAGCAGTCAAGGATACCTTGATCTTTGGCCAATAGGTTATTTTTATAAGTTCATACGTTAGTTTCTATCCAGTTACTATGCCAGACTTCTCCATCACAATCAACAGCACTACAATCAACCCATACCATCAAGCCAGGGTGCCCGGCGTAATCCTTGATTCTAAACTCTTCTTTCAACCCCACATCCAATCACTATCCAAATCTTGCCGACTCAACCTCAACCAAAGCTTCTATTTAACTCTCTTGTAATATCTTGCCTGGACTACTGTAACTCCCTTCTTGTTGTCCTACCACTAAACAGGCTATCCCCATTTCAGTCTATCACGAATGCTGCTTCCAGACTCATCCACCTCACCAACCGATTAGCATCCACCACCCCCCTCGCCAATCGCTCCACTGGCTCCCACTTGCCCAATATATAAAATTCAAAATACTAACTACAAAGCCATCTACAACTCTGCCCCAACCTACATCACCCACCTCATCTCAAAATATCCCCCAAACTGCCCCCTTTGCTCTTTCCAAGACCTCCTGCTCTCAAACTCTTTTGTCACCTCCTCGCATGCTCGCCTCTGTCCACCTTTAGGCGATCCTTGAAAACTCTTCTCTTCAGGGAGACCTATTCCACCTTGATATAACCATAATTTCAGTTCTTCCATTAAATCATCACAAACAGTTATCACCTTTTGTATCACTTGCCCCTCCTACTAAATTGTAAGCTCTCACGTGGGGCCCTCCTACCTCCTGCACTGAAATTGTATTGTTAACTGTATTGTCTCCCTCAGTTTTGCAAAGCGCTGCACAAACTGTTGGCGCTATATAAATCCTGTATAATAATAATAATAATATAAAAAAATAGAACAGTCTTTTAGAACACAAACCCAGATGGGCTGCTTAATGTCTAACATATAATGCAATCTAACTACAGTATATCTGTAGAGGGTGTGTAGTATCTGCGGACAACACCTAATCTACTGTCTAGTGTACTGTCTACAGTACTGTCAAACTGTCGTTTGAGCATGCAAATGTAAGTTATAACCAAAGCCTAATCAAGCAACTTTAAAACAAGGGTGTCTTGTCTTACATGATTTTCCAAGGATTTGAAGTGACACCATATGCCAGATGAGCAATTTTGTTAAAAGAAATGGTGTAAATTGAAATAATACAGGTCATTCAGGTGTATTTGGGATCTGGGAGTGGAGTAGATGCAGCATGAAGCTTCAAGGTATTGTTTTCTATGTACATACAGTGCCATACTTTGTTTACAGAGATTCAATGACATTTATCCTGCAATTTGGAGTTGTGCTGGCAGGCATATTACAGGGTTTTTTTTAAAGCAATATGTTTGTGGAAGACACAGCTTAATTTATATACAGCAGCCCCAGTCATTCACTTTTATATAGTGTAAATGGGTACAAAAAGTGCAGAACATTGGCAAACATTGTCTAAATACAAGAGGCATATGTATGCACACTTGAAACTTGGTCACCTTTCTGTATTTCTTCCTGACCTATACAGTAATCCAGTGTGAAACTTTGCCTCTGGGCATGAGTGCCCTATAAGAAAGGACAGTCACTGCTGCCTTCTCTCTGTGTGCAGTGATTCTTGTCGGTGGAGCTAGCACTAGCTGTAAGATTTGTACTCAAATGTAAACACTTATCTGAGTGGTTACATGCAAATAGGGCCTCTGATTGACGTTGGCATGGCATTTCTTGTAGAAGATAAAAATCACCAGCACTCAAGTAGTAGCAATAAATCCTTGTGCTTATTTATTGAAGTGAAACGTCACAAACATGATACAGCCAACATTTCGGGGCCACGCAGGGCAACATAGTGTATTTCTGGCTACGGCAAATCAGACAGTCTATATACGGCCATAGTAGAGAGTGCAGTTGCATCCAAAGGTGCAGTTTAGCTGCCTCTGAACACAGAAAACTATCCGCCCTTATTCACGTGTCTGAATGAGGCCTTAGCAGGCTGAGACAGCTCTTAGAGCAGGCTGGATTGCTTAACTTCACTATAGTCTATGGATCAATCTCAAGGAAAAAAAGGGACCTGCATGCAAAATAGCAGGGGTGTCTAGATCAAACACTGGTTGAACAGATTTACAAATCTTTTGGCAGGTAGAAGTTCATGTATTTGCATTTTAACGGCCTGGATTTCAGCTCTGAAAGGGCTGCTAAAAAAAACTAGCTGGTTTATGAAAAGGTAGTTTTAATAATTAAAATGTCAACTAATAAAGCAAAGTGGCTGCACAATAAAGTTATACATGTTATAGTAGAGCTACACCCTATTACCCTAAATGGAGAACATTTAGTTTTATAAACCATTTACATAGTAAAAATGGAGAACATTTAGTTTTATAAGCCATTTACATAGTAAAAACAACTGTCATTTAAAAAAAAAAAGAAAATGCTATTTTTTACTTTTTTTCATCCCTTATTACATCTCAGTGCTGCTGATTTCCTCCAGCATTTTTTAGCCATTACCTATACACACTCTTGCTCTAGTGTCAGCTGCACTTCTTTGCTCTGTACCATGTTCCTGATAGTTGCAGTGTTGGAACTGCACAATGCACATTGACATGCCGACTTGTAGTATCCATCAGTGGCACACTTGGGAGACAGTTGTAACCCCATGACAGGATGTGTTAGAAGAATATCCATGGTTGGATCACCACATATTATTTTAATGAAAGCTGCAAAAGACTGAAAAATATTTTTGAAATGACATTAACATATTTTAATTCTACTTTAATTATTTCTGTTTTTGTACAGGTATAGACACTTGCATATTTGTAAATGTTATTGGCAGCTCTCTCACACATAGTAACTCTTTAATTTTAGGTTTAGGGGCCTTTCATCTTTCCATGTTACATTTCTATTATGCTATTTTTTGCCCCTACAGGTATTTTTAAGATCGAAGACTCTGCTCAAGTTGCACGCCTCTGGGGTATCCGAAAAAACCGCCCAGCAATGAACTATGATAAACTGAGCCGCTCAATTCGACAATACTACAAAAAAGGAATCATCCGCAAGCCAGATGTATCACAACGCCTTGTCTACCAATTTGTGCAACCATTATAGAAAATGTCAACCTATATGGATCCAAGACAAACTGGCATTTCAAAAAGGTGAAATGCCGAAGAAGGAAAGGATACCAAAACACTGGATGATCTGCACACTGGAATACAGCAGTCCTATTCTTTCCGGGTCTATATTTATTAAAGAATCATTTTCTCTAACAAGCTGATCAAGGTTTGTAGTGCCACAAAAACCCAATATTGTTATGCTTCAAGAGACGTAAACCAGCGCAAGAGACTTAGAGTCTTTTACACTTTCCATTTACTCAGTTATCATCACTACCTGCTTTCTTAGAGATACTCACTGATGTGAGACCTGCTGGACTCAGTGACCTTGTAGGACAATAGGAGGTGGGTAGAGTAGGACAGAGTGACCACAAAGCACTGTGCGCATACTGTAAAAATAATACAAAACCAAATACATTAGCGTAAAACTTGACATGAATGTATGTTTTAGATCTGTACACACTACATGAAGTGGTAAATTGTAGAAGAATTATTTATTGTAGCTGCATAACCTATAAATTATACAACACACCAAATGAAACTCAGAAATCAAAGTGCCATTATGGGTGTATGAGTGCATGAATATATGTTTATATATCACTCTTAGGTAAAACATACTGTTGTTGTGTGTTGATAGGATGTTTTACTGCATTATTCATGTGATTACTTTCTTCCTTTTATTTTACATTTCAACCTAGTTCTCAATACTGCCAAATACAACTGATTTTTATAGATAAATGTTGCCATTCATAGTAAAATTTATATTTGTACACATTTTTGCTTTTTGTTATCTCTTAATGCTTCTTGGTGCCCACTACAGTTTATTTACAAGTGACATGTATTAAATAATATTTGTATTTAACTGGGCAGAGAAATATATTATACGCTTCTCATGTTGTAGAGTGTTTGTGGTAGTATATGTAGCTGTATTATTGCCTGGTACATTTCTATTATTTGTGAAATAAATACTAAATATGGAACGTTTTACCAGTAAATGTACACGCAGTGGCCACTTTGTATGGTACGCACAAAGTGCTAGATGTGGTGGCTGCAACATCTCATTAAATGATCTTCTCTGTTTTTCACACATTACAGTCCCAAGAGCAGTCTTTCCCAACATTTTAAACCTAGAAAAACACTTTAAAGCGTAGCTTCACTTTTGTTGAGAAAAAAATAATCCACTTCGGGGTACGTTGAATATATTTTAACTAACGTTGTTGCAGATTCCTACCTTTTTCTGTTTTCAAGAAAAAGCAGTTTGTTTCACCATGTCCTTTCCAAACTGATGCCTGAAAGGGAAGGTCAGGGTCATTGTAACCACCTGGTGCACTTTCTGTGTTGTAATGAGGAAAGTTACAGTGTTTGCATCCCTGTGGAAGTAGATACTCTTTAGGGAGCAGCTCACCAAAAATGAAATTCCTATTGCAGTGGGGTGCTTAAATTTTGACTTGCATCTTAGTGCAGACTTCTGGGAAAATCTGGAAGCCAATCAGAAACCAAAACACATGACATTTCTGGGGGCATTCCTTCAGGTTGCCATATTGCATGGAATTTTTTTGAACAGTTTTAGAAAATTACAGCGGCTTCAGATTGAAATTGAATGGTAATTTTTAATTACATTAAACAACAAAATGGCTTGTGTAGCATTTTCATATGCTATATTATTTTTTTAAACAAATGTGGATTTTCCCTTGAAATAATTTTCAGGTCATGCAGATATATTATTACATCTACAGCTCATAATATGTTAGAGTGCAATACAGCGTTCATAAGTTATCAATGGCCTGGTGTACAGTGGTATAGCTAGCCTATTTGACACCTTTTCTACACGACAAAATTAATTTTAGTAAAATCAAAAAATGAAACTAGTATTAATCATGTCCAAAAAAAAATGCAGACAAGAAATCTTAGTTTCCCCTTGTACTGGTGGTTAGTGGAGAAGTACCCCCTTACATTTTTACATTGGTGGTCAGTGAATAAGTGCCCTCTTAAATTGATGATCAGTGTAAGGTTCCATTAAACTGGTGGCTAGTAAAGGGCCCCCTTACATTGGTGGTCAGTGGAAGAAGGGCCTCTTTAGTCTGATGGCCATTGGGTGTAAGAATACCCTTGACACTGGGGGTCAGTGCAAAATGCATTGTACACATTTATTTCCTCACATCTGCCTACAATAAATCATAGTGACTTAGGATCTAAAAGTCTGAGCAGCCTGTACTAAATTAGGAGGTGGGAGGTATGTGCACATAAAGGTAACATAGGATAACTTATGAACTGTCACATAGTTTCCACTTTCAGTGCTCTTATCTTCTTGTACATAACCTAGGGGCACACTGTTAGGGAACCAAGAAACCAGACAGAAACTTAAAATGCAGGTTAAATATAACAGGAGTTTATTAAAAATAACAATAAACAAAATATCAAAAAACAATGGAGAAAGTCCAGGACATCGTTGGTGCCAAGCCAGAGGCCAGATGCCAAAGCAGGTAGTCAGCCAAACCAGGTGTTGGAACATTGAGAGCAGGATGAAGGGAAACAAGAGCTGGAGTCAGGAACCAGGAGAACAGTCAACCAGAGCCAGGGTCATACATGGAGAACAGGAATTACAGCAGAGCACTTGGTAGATCTGGACACATGCCAGGGCGGAGACTAAATAGACAAGCTGATGGTTAAATAGTGAACTGGTGTTTCCATCATCAGTCTGAGAAAGTTGACAGAAGTTTGACAGAAGTTGCAGAATGATGATGATTACGGATTTGGTCATAAGAAGGCGCCAAAGAGGAACGAACAGTGTCAGACACATTGCATAGAAGACATGCTGCAGCTGAAAAAGTAATTTTTACACTACTCATATTTTTGGGCACCAGAGACGTGCCCTGCTCTCATCAGTACCACCTGATAGCTTCGTAGATGTGGAAATGCATCATGCTTTCAGAGGCATTTATCTTGGATTTCAGCTTAGTTTGCAATGTCTCTGATATCCTTATGCATTAACATATGTTTGTATACACAAGCTCTAACGTGTATTGCCCAATATACGGTGAGAGCAAGCTCTTGCTCCCAGAGCCTTCTTTAACAGAAGGACTCTGTCAATAAAATGAAAGTACCCATAAAGGAGTTACCTGTAAAGAAAACAGATATTACTTACCTCTCCCACTGCCTGTGTCACTGTAATACAATGAAATCATTTCCTGAATTCTCATCAGGAAACAACACTTCTGGGAGTGTCAAATTCCTGGTTCCACACTGCGCTCAGTGGTTCCTACTACCTACTGCTACATCACTATTGAAGATACAACCCCCTCTCTCCTAGAAAAGATGGCAACTTCTTAACTAGTTAACAAAGTCTGCAGAAAGCAAAATGGTAGTGCTGGACTTTTTTTTAGCAAACCCTGCATGCTTTTGAAGTTGAACAAATACCATTAGAGTTTCCCTTCAAGAGCAATGTTTAGGGCTAACAACATAAATTACAGCATTTTCCTAAGCTCTGCCCACCTGTATTGACTACTCTTATTTCAAAAAAGTCCATTTAAGCTGAATTCCAGGCAGAGATTAAAAACACTATTTAATCTTTTTTTTTTTGTACTGTACAGTATATTTGTGTTAATCTAATAACAGAAACTTACTGATAGAAAGCAGAAGAGTAGATTGGTTATAATGATGGTCCTTAATTGTTTATCAGCTATATGGGGGTAGGTCAGGAACCAAGCCTTGTTTCACTACAGTGAAGGAAAGAATGATGACAGGGCTTTAGTACTGAATGGCCAAAACAGGCTGTGGTGTAGGGTGACAGAGCTGCCAGAAGTAGGACACAGCTACCCAAACATGAAGTTGCCAGTAACACATTTTCATGTATAATAAATGGTTCAAGACTGCCACCCTGTCTGTCAGAACAATCCATCTGGGTCGTCACTGTTGCTGTCCCGGCATTTTTGTTGGTAAATTACTGAGTACTTTGTGTTCAATCGCTCTGAGTTTGAAACCGTAGAAACTAAATGCTTGCAGAGCATAGTGACATCTTGCCCTACTATTCTAGAAGTTGCTTCTAAGTATAAGGGAACAGAGTGGGCAAACTCTCTTTCAGCCTCTCCTCCTCTAGCTTTGGTGTGCCGTGTGTGGTTAAGATGTCTGCTCTTGTTAGTGTGATACTGAAGCTGGCCATACACTGTTTGAATTTTGGTGAAGTAATGCTGACATGGCCAAAATTTTAGTAGTGTGTGGCCCAGTCAGCACCCTTCTGTTCAACAACAGTCGATTTTTCTAATTATCTGCTGTCACCATTCAGGTATGCTGTCAGAGTGCAATGGCCAGGCGGGGGGGGAGTAAATCTTCCATCAATGCTGGTTAGCGTGGATGGGGGAATCAAGCATTTTGTTTCTCATTCAGCCCTAGAATAAGTGTATGGCCAGCTTAATTCTAGCCTTTTCATTGGGCTGGGATGATAGGCACAGGACAGTTGACCTTAGCTTATGAAATTATACGTAGATAATCAAATTGTCCACCTGCACTACCACCTCCACTGGTTTCCTCCTGTAGGTGTCAAATGTATGCTCAACCCATGAGACCCATCAACCCATGAGATTTTTATTTATAACCAAGTGCATCAGCACCAATGTTGCAAATGGTAGGGATATCTGCTAATACAATCATTGAAAAGATATAAGAGTAAGCACACCACATTTAAAGAATGCTTTTGCCATTAAGTTGTATTCAAAATATATAGAAGCACTATAGAGTAATAGCTACAAATATCCAAGTATGTATTTGCTACACTGTTAATTCCAACCTATATCCAAAAGAATACATGCATGTAGATGGATAAAACGAGAACCACTTGGTCATTTGGAGCTAAGGTTTTAAACACATACATGAGGTTAGTATCCAAAATAGAGTAGTGAGAGAAAAAGCAGAGCCAAATTCTGATGGAAAGAGATAGGAAGAGGAGGAAGAACACAACATTTGCGGGGTGAAAGAACCCTCTTTTCATGGACCTCCTGTCTGACTTAACAGTTACATACAGGCGCCATA